GTATCACTTTTGCCTTAAGTAACTCAAGAGAGAAAAAATTGAAACTCAACTCCAATCTTGGTTTAACTCAACTAAACTCAGATTATGGAATTGTTGTAATCAAGAACAAAACAGAAAAAATTCAAAATTCGTAGCTTTTTTACAATATTTTAAACCCAAATTCTTTAATCATATTAACATTGCATATTAAACACATGCATCAAATCAAATATTCCATGCAATACTATATCTCCATAACTGTTACTCTTCAACCGCACAAGGACATTGATGCTTAGACCACATCTAGGACAAACAGAATAATTACATTGACATCCTAACACCAAAAAAGAAGAGAACCCCATGACGATGCTTTAGGCAAGGGTGGAAAATACCATATTAGATCGACAACTCTCTTAAGACACCCCAAATCCCTCTTATTGTTCTTGCTTATCCATCAGGAAGAAATAGAGGTTGATTATTTTTCTTCTCTTGGGTCAAATAGAAGTTAAGTTTGAAAACAACAAAAATACGGAAGAGATAACAGTGTGTGCAGTGTGGTGATGATAAATGAGAGAAGCAAAATCTGAAAATGTCAACTAAACCAACAAAGGGACCTATTGTTCTCCCGTTATTTCTCTCTTCTATTTCGCTCCACTATCAATCATAATTCAGGTATTTCTTTTTTCCTTTATGACCTCCTGACTAATTTCCAGGTTAGGATATTTCAAGGCACATGCAATCGCATCTCCCAGCCCTATTTGAGCCACACTTCAAATGGTCCAAACCTTGCCTATAAGGCTTTATCTTGTAAAATAAACCTCTTAAATAAGTCAGAAGAAGAAATTTCATTTAATCAATTTGTAAAACAAAAAATATTAACAGGCAATAATTTTTAACTAAATCAAGCATCAGACTGGAAATATGTGCCCATCCCAGTACCTACAAAGAATAATCAATCTCATAATGATACAACCATGCATTTGGCATAGGCAACCTTTCATAAAATGGATGCCCAATCTTGTGCTATCTATTCATCTAACCTAATTGGGCTACCAGATCTCAAGTTTCTTTGTTTTTTTAAGGCACCGAAGCATGAATTGGTTCCATCTCAAAAGCAAAAACACGAATTGGGAGGGGACAAGTAAAGAGAATAAATGGAGTTTAATGCAACTTGAAAAAGTCATTAGCAAAAACCTTGCTTCAAGTGAGAAAGGTACCAATAAATGCTCATGCAGCCTCCCACATTAGATAGGAATAGTGTCTTTCAAAGGAGCACCTAATCCAGTCTTTTGAAGATGGGTAACCATGGTAGTAACATCAGTGTTCAAAGCAGCAGCCAATCCCTGATTTCAGTATAATAAAAGGGCAAAGCCATTTGAGCAATTAGGCCAACACATTGACTAAGAAAACAAATATAGGAGTTTTCATTTTCAAATAGTTTGAATATATATATCATTGAATATATATATATATATATATCGTTGAACGCTATACCTTATCGTCCCCCATTTGGTGTTTAACAACATCCAAAGGCCATTCATTTACCAACTTCTGAAGTTCGACCATGATAACTGACTTCTTCTCATCGGGTAGAGTCTGATATAAATGTCAACAGTTCACAGAGTGAGTAAAAAAGTACAAAATACATAAGCAAAGATATGAATTTGAATTCTTAATCAGTAGGTCCAAGACATTACCTTCTTATTTGATTTTACCAGACATATCATATATAAAATGAACTTGTATAATAACTTATCTGTTTTAGATATAGTAAAGCACAGTTCTCACAGAACCAAGGAATTAGGTTTCTCCAGGTCGCAAGCATGAACCTATACCTGATATGACCAATACTGCCCCATAGAGGCCATAGAATATTTCTACACTTCAAGGTTGTTTCTTGAGTAAGGTGAAAAAGCATATTTGCTTCCCCCTTTCAATAAATGGTACAAAGAGTTGGCAAGTGCTGGCTCAAGATTCAAGAACTGCTATCACACAACTCAAACACAAAATCCTTTTATTATATAGATATACCAGAAATAAGTGACACCTAATTTACCTGATTAAGGACTTCAATAACAGCAGCAGCATCCTCAGGCTTGTGTTCAAGTAGAAGACCCTACAAAATGAGGCAGGTATTTTTATATAAAGCAAAGTTCTAGATAGTGGACACCACAGAGGTCAGCCAAACAAGAGGCCCCATGATGCTCAATCCATTGGGTAATCACAAAAACTATGAAAATTCAAATTGAACCATGACTTGAAAATAGATGATATAAGATTTATCACCTTCACACATGAAAATCCACTAGCAAGAGTGTGATGCTTGAAAGACTCGAATCTCTTCTTCTCAATTTCCCATAATGACTTATTGTCTCCTGTAATAAAGAAAATGTAATGAATTTAGAAATAAAATATTTGGCCTTAAGTGTCTCCACCAATAAAGTTAGAAACCATAATAACCAAAGCAGAGAAGAAGATTCATATAAATGAAATGCAATCAGGAAATCAAGAACCACATGCAAGGCAATTTTGCTCTTGAGGAGTTAAGCTCCCCATCTTCAGCCCTCTTGGCTCTCTGTATGAATGTGGGTGGGTTTGCCATAACAGCTCTCCTTTTCAACCATCCAGAGACATGCTAGCAACAACAATATTTACTTCAAATGGCCAGCAGAATACATCTACAAATGCAATATATGAGAAGCATCTGATGTGATGCAACGAAAAACTAACCATTCAATAAATACTAATAATCCTAAAGGTAAATAATCCTAAAGGTGAGTCTGCAGTATCAAAACCAGTAAAACAACCATATATAAGATCTTCTAACAGACATTGATCATGCCATAATTTCTAACTCTTCAGATACATAGATCTATTTCTTCCATGTTGTCCCAACCAGACCATGCTTGCCAATAAGACACTAAAATTCATGTTTAATATGTGACAATAAATGGCAGGATATAAACAGAAATGGAACAATGAACTAGCGTGAAACAATGTCACTTGCAGAGACCTATTTTGGCAGCAAATGTCATCCATGTGTCAAATGTCGTTTTCCGAAATTTAACTCCAGCTTTTGCAAACCTTTTTGAATACTTGGTCAGCAACTCCCAATTATTCAGATCGTAACAAATCCTGCATATGAGCATTTTAATATAATGTTAGTATCTTCTTAAACAGTCCAAATATATTGTGTCTACATGCATATAATACATATAAAGTGAATGATACATACTTCTTGGTAAGTACAGAATCTGGCATTTCCGGAAAGCAAAACAAAAGAATAAAGTCATAGTAACTTCCAATATACCTAAAAACAATATCAGCCGTGCCAGGTTGTAATGGTAAACCATTCCTCGTCACTAGTTTTAGAATTTCAACCATGAGCTCTAAATCCTTGTGATCTTGAGCATATGACTGCAGTCCAATAGCAAATATTTAAAGATTGTGAAACACAGATCACAAAAAAATGCCAAATGCATAAAAGAAGACTCAGTTGCCCCTAATACCAGTAAATGGTGGGCCGAACCAATACTAGGACTCAATCCATATACGTTATGTTTGCACAAAGTTTTCTTTCCTGCATTCAACATTTTAGGAATGTCAATATCATTATAGGCTGTTAGTTATACACTACACAAAACTTCTTTTCTAAGTTTTGCTGATGCAAAATTTTAAATGCAAGAAAGAGAGGATTAATATTATGTTCATATTTTTGTAAAGCCCTGATTTAAAGTAATGGAACAGCTTAATGATGTCCACATTATCAGTAAAAATCAGGTTTCAAGCATCGAAAAGACAGTGGAAAGGCATACCAAAGTCAAGGGCCCCAACACGAACACATGTCTTAGCAATTTCTCTGCAAAGATTGCAATTAAAATTGGCATGAATGTGAAGATTTGACAATCTCTGCAACCAAAAACCAGCATCTTGAAGTATCAATAGTTAACAACTAAATTTTGCATTTAGAAAGACAAATATAGAAATATAACATATTAAAAATGGGTGCAACAGGAACTAACAAATCTTCGAAGATTCTGCAAAATGTCAAATAAAAGTTCAATATCATCTTGATTCTGACAATTTTCAATCAGTGACCACAACCAGGCATTTGGGGGCATTGATCGCTTAACATTTACAGATTCCAGCATTTTATCATATAGTTCCTTCACAGCCTCTGCATTCAGAAATTCAAAGCAATTAACATAAAACAAACTTAACAAACATTCACAAATGAATTGTGCAGAGAAACTCAAGAACCTGTTGGACTGCTCTCAGCACTTCCTGCTTTCGTAGAAAAAGACGCCCCCCATGTCATTGAATAAACCGGCACAGATGGTATCTGGACATAACTGCCTTGACTAAAGCCTGCAAAACTAAGTACATTAATATTGCCAAATCATTATCTCAGTTGGAGACTCCATTATATTAAAGAGAAAAGTATCGTGGTCAATATTTTTTGACAGATTATAATTTCTATGTTCAAACAATTATTTGAACCACAGAGATGCTCTACTTAATTGAGAATAACACAGTTCTTTGACCTATTTATGTGGCAAATTTTCATTTTCCAGCCGCATAAACAAGTAACTAGCTAGTCTGTTCGTGTGTATGTGTGTATGTGTGTATGTGGTTATATATATAACCTCCAAAAATTTCAATACTTTACTTCATTTATACTTCTTTCGTCTTCTAAATGTTCTTCAACTCTAGGAGAAATCCTAAAAACCCAATCATTTTTATACACTACGAACTCTTAAAAAAGTAAAATAGAAAACAAAATGCTCTCATCAAGTAATCAGAGTTAAGGGAAAGCAGCTCAATCTTCAAGCATCACAGCCAACACAGACGACATGAAAACAACCAGAAACAAACGCATAATCAATTTATGTCAGTGGCAACGCATACATGAAATATCCATGTGGTACCTGAAAAGAACGAAATTTGAGAAAAGAAAGCTTCTTGGCCTTGCCATTGAGGAGAATGAAGGATTTGAGAAAGAGAAGGAAGAGCTCCGTGATTGGTGTCGCCGATAATTGGGGGTTTCAAAACCCTAGCGAGCTTGCGCGATTTTGAGAGCGCTTGCATTGGACCGAGTGGGTAACTGAAAAGGAAATGAATTCTCTGAGTTAATTTGGAGGATGTTTGGAGGGAGCAATGCGCCTTACAGGCCTATGGCTAGTCGTGTACTGTGAAATCTAATCAGGGTTTAAGGTAGAAGAAAGGGAGATCAGAATCACATACTCCCCACCCTATCGTTTGTACCATGGACTTGCATTTTTCTGATTGACTAAACTCACTTTGGTCATCACTCATCATCTGATTAAAACTTAAAAGTAGTTTAAAAAATGTTTAATACTTAATCATAGGTATTAATAACTTTTACAAATTTTCTAATATATAAACTTTACAAAAAATTAATTCGATAAATTTATAAATAAAATTAAATATTTTACAAACTGCACTTAAACTGTGCGTTTTAACTGGTCTGTCTCTTCGAGTTTGACAGTGTCGAGCCAGTTTCCCCGCTGAACCCTCTCGTCAAATCTCTATGATTTTTCTTCTGGCGGGATCCAATTTTGGTTTTCTTCTGTCCTTTCGGAGTTTCCGAATTCTCATATACTCTTCCATTTCAATCTTCAATGTCTTTTATTCATCTTCTTCGCAAAACCATCAATATCACATCATCAGGTATCCCTAAACTTCACGTTCTTCAACATTGGGAGTTCTTAGTGTTATCTTCTAGATACATTTGCAGCGAACCAAAGGAGCATCGATTTTCAGTCACATACCTTATAAACAAATGTGGGTTATCTCCAGAATCTGCTTTTTCAGCTTCAAGGTATGTTAATTTTGAAACCCCGGATAAAGCCGACTCTGTTCTTGCTCTCTTCGAGAATTATGGCTTCTCGAAAACGCAGATAGGAATTCTCGTTAAGGGTCTTCCTCAAGTGCTTTCATCTGATCCTGCAAAGACCCTTCTCCCCAAACTCGAGTTTTTCCGCTCTAGATGTGTTTCGACTACTGACATCACGAAGATCTTCTGCTACAATCCGGGACTATTGAAAAGAAGCTTAGAGAAGCATATAATCCCTTCGTTTAATATCTTGAAAGAGTTGCTAAAATCAGAGGAGAAGACTATTGCTTCGATCAAACGATTTGGAAAGATTCTGTTGATTGATCTTGACACTTTCTTTGTACCGAATATCAACGTGTTGAGAGAATATGGAGTGCCTGAGTCGAAAATCATCACTCTAATTCACTACCAGCCAAGGTCGATTGCAGGCAAGACCCATATATTCAGAGAGAATGTTGAGGAAGTAAAGAAAATGGGATTCAATCCTTTGAGGTTGAAGTTTGTTCTGGCAGTGTATGCATTGAGGACAATGAGCAGATCCACATGGGACACCAAGTTCAAGGTTTATAAAGATGGGGTTGGTCTGAGAAAGATATAATTGAAGCTTTTAAGAGGCATCCATGGTGTATGATGGTGTCTGAGAAAAAGATTATGGGGAGTAATGGATGTTCTTGTAAAGATTTGGATATTGATTACTCTGAGATTGGTTCGACGTCCTA